AGCCTGAATGGCCCTCTGAAACCTTCCTCCCCTCCCCTTCCCCAACCCCACTTCCTGTGGTTATTTGCCATCCTCCCTAATTTTCTGCTGTCCGATGCTGAACATTTGTATGCAACAAAGGTCTCAGCTTTATTCCTCTACATCCCCAGCTTAATGAATTTCGAGCATGACATTACGTCGAACTCTTCTTCCATTATCTTCACCTCTGTGCCCATTTTTTTGGGCAAGAATCCTTGACCTGTCCCATGGACCCCTTCGCCCAGCTCCAACGCTCCCCCTCCAACTGGAGCTCTCCTTCTGGCCTTTTACCTGCACTCAATCAGTTCATTGAGAACTGTTGATGTGACATTGGTCACTTCAATTTCTCTGCCCTCCTCACCCAATCCAACCTATCTGTCTCCAAACTGACTAGACTCCATGTGCTTAGATCCAAGCCTGACTTTGCTATTCACAGAATCATAGAATCCCCACAGTGTGGCAACAGGCCATTTGACCAACAAGTCCTCACCGACCCTCTGAAAAGCATCCCATGCAGACCCATCCCCCTACTCTATCCCTCTAACCCTGCATTTCCAGCAACTACACATCCCTGAACACTATGGGCAATTTAGTATGGCCAATCACCTAATTCGTGCATCTTTGGATTTTAGGAAGAAACCAAAGCACCCAGCAGCACATGGAGAACATGCAAACTCCACACAGCCAGTCACCCAAGGTTGGACTCGAACCCGGGTCCCTGGCACTGTGAGGCAGAAGTGCTAACCACTGAGCCACTGTGCTGCCCTGAAGACAAGCAACCAGGGCTCATTTGGGATTAAGTCTGCCGATAAGCGTGGTGCTGCTATAGTCTGGTGTACTGACCTCTACATTGCACAGACTGAGCGCCAGCTCTCAAATACCTCCTCCTATCTTCCCCTCGATCATGACTGCACCATGGCACATCAGGCCATTGTATCAACTATGGTCACTGACCTCATTTCATCTGGCGATCCTGACCCCACTGCCTCTAAGCTGACAGTCCCCCAGCCCTGTACAGCTTGCTTATACCTCCTTCCAAAAATCCACAAACAGGATTACCCAGACAGACCCATTGTTTCAGCCTGCTCCTGCCCCTCAGAACTCATCTCTTCCTACCTTGACCCAGTCTTTTCTCCCCATCCAATCCCTGCTCACGTACGTCTGTGATTCCTCTGACGCTTTATGCCAGTTTTGGAATTTCCAGTTTGCAGGCTCCAGCTGCCCCCTCTTTACCACGTACGTTCAATCCCTTTATATGTCCATTCCCCACCAGGAGGGTCTCAGGGCTCTCCATTTCATCCTGGAGCAAAGGTCTGAACCATCCCCACCTACCACCACTCTCCTCCGCTTGGCCGAGCTTGTCCTCATCCTCAACACCTTCTCTTTGAACTCCTCTCATTTTATTCAGGTCAGTGGGTGGCTATGGGTACCTGTGTGGGCCTCAGTTATGCCTGTCTCTTCATAGGGTATGTGGAACATTCTTTGTTCCAGTCCTAGTCCGGCCCCCACCCACAACTCTTTCTGCGCTATATCGATGATATAATCAGTGCTGCTTCCCTCTCTCAACGGAATTGGAAAAGGTAATCAATTTTGCTTCCAATTTCTACCCCAGCCTCACTTTCACCCGGTCTATCTATGACTCCTTCCTTCCCTTCCTCGACATCTCTGTTTCCATTTCTGGGGTTAGGCTGGCCACTAATATCCACTATAAACCCACAGTTACCAGGACTATACATCCCCACATCCTGCTTCCTGTAAAGTCTTCATTCCATTCTCCCAGTTCATCCGTCTCCATTGCATATGTTCTGATGAGGCCAACTTCAACAAGGCAGCCTCCAAAATGTCCACCTTCTTCCTCAACTGAGGATTCCCCAGCACTGTTGTTGACAGGGCTCTCTACTGGGTCTGACCCATCTCCCTCATTTCTGCCCTCATCTCTTTTCCCTCCTGCAACAGCGATAGGGTTTCCCTTGTCCTAACATACCATACCACCAGCATCCACATCCAGAAGATCATCTGACGCCATTTCTGCCACGTCCAGTGAGATGCCAACACCAGACACATATTCCCCTCCCCTGCCTTGTCCACCTTCCGCAGGAACCGTTCCCCCGGGACAGCCTGGTCTACTCTTCCTTCACTCCCAACACCACCCTCCACCCCCACAGCCCCACGGCACCTTCCCCTGCAACTGCCAAAGGTGTAACACCTGCCTATTTACCTCCTTCCTCCGCTGTATCCAAAGGCCCAAACACACCTTCCAGGTGAAGCAGCGCTTTACCTGTACTTCACACAATCTAGTCTACTGCATTCGCTGCTCACAATGTGGTCTCCTCTACATTGGGGAAATGAAGCATAGACTGGGTGACCGCTTCACAGAACACCTATGTTCTGCCCGCAAAAAAGACCCTAGGTTTCCAGTTGCCTGCCACTTTAACACATCACTCTGTTCCCTGGCCAACATCTCTTTCTCTGGCTTGCTGCAGTGTTCCAGCGAAGCTCAGTGCAAGCTGGAAGAACAGCACCTCATTTTCTGCTTGGGGACCCTGCAACCCTCCGGACTCAGTATCAAGTTCAATAATTTTAGGGCCTGAACTTTCCTTTTTCTAGCCCCCTACCCCAAACACCAGGCATTGTTATCACACAGTCTGCCATTACACACTACCTATTGTTAGCCACTAACAGTCTCCATTAATGGCTATTCACCCTCCTAGCCATAATCGTTATCCACTCCGTTGTCTGTCCAACTGTTCTTCTCTCTCTTTGGGTTCTATCCCCAGCTATTGTTTACTCCTTATCCCCTCTCCCCAGCCAATCTTATGCATATAAATGGGCATTTTCCTAGCTACCATCAGTTCTAAGGAAGGGTCACCGGGCCCAAAATGTTAACTCTGATTTCTCTTCATGGATGCTGCCAGACCTGCTGAGCTTTCCTAGCAACTTCTGGTTTTGTTTTTGAATGGACGGGGTCAAGCTCCCACAGAACCACAATATTAAGTTTTAGTTTTCAGCAGTTGCTGGGGGTCTTGAAGCTAGATATGGAAGCTCTTATTCTTCTCTCTGTTACAGCTAAAAGCTGGGATTCTCTTCCTTCTACTAGAATTGCATGTGAAACAATCTATTTTGCTGAACTTGCCTTTGCCAAAGGTGTGTTTATGGGATGTTACTACATTGGAACAGCTAATTAGTAGCAGTTAATATATACATTATTTTGTTAAGCATTTCAGTAGTGTTACAGTTAAGCCAATTCTTTTATTTATATTTTGTCTATAGTTTAATTATAGTATATGAATAAAGCGTGTTTTGTTTCAAGCCTGGTAGCTTGACCATTCAAATTGCATCCAGAACACAATGCCTTACACTTATCTTTAAAATAAGAAAAAGGTAAGGTCCAGGCTATCCTCTTAATATATTTTGAAGGGGCTTGATCTGGAACCTAACAAATGGAATGGACCTACAGGGTCCTGACTGGAAAAATAGTTGTCATTAACAGCCTGTCAGGCTGCGTGACATCATGACCTCAACACTTCATGTGTTTTCAATGGATGGAAGGGAATGCTCACATGTATACCTTGCTCTACAAAGTAGGCTGCATTACTCATCAAAACTTTGCACCCAAAACATCTTGAAGCTAGGCTTAAAGAATGCCAGGAGATCTTCATGCTACTGTGTTGATCACATGTCCACATAGAACATGGAACATAGAACAGTACAGGCCCTTTGGCCCAAGAGGTTGTGCCGACCTATTATCCTACTAAGATCAAACTACCCTGCATATCCTACATTTTCCTATCCTCCATGTGCCTATCCAAGAGTCGCTTAAAAGTCTCTGAAGTATCCGACTCCACTACCACTGCTGGCAGATCATTCCACATGCCCACCACTCTCTGTGTAAAGAACCTACCTCTGACATCTCCCCTATACCTTCCTCCAATCACCTGAAAATTATGCCCCCTCGTAATAGTCATTTCCACGCTGGGAAAAAGTCTCTGACTATCCACTCTATCTATGCATCTCATCATGTCAGTTGAAATTAAATGCAGAAAAGTATTGATGATGCTTTGGTAAGAAGAATGAGGGAAGATTTTGTGTATGAACAAAGTAACCTCAGGGTGTTTGTACACAATGTTTTGAAAGCAGCAGAACAGGTTAACCATGTAGCTAATAATATGTATGGGATCTTGGGCTTTATAAATAGAGGCATAGAGTTCATAAACAAGGATTATGCTCAAACTCTATCGTGCCTAGTAGGAGTATTGAGTCAAATTCTAGGCTCCATTATTTATGATGGATATGAAAGCTTTGGAAAAAGTACTGAAGAGATGTACTAGAATGGTTTGAGGGATGAGGAATTATAATTATATAGATAAAATAGAGAACCTGGTCTTGTTCTTAAGAGGAGAGAAGGCTGAGACCTAAAATGATAGATGCAATTAAAATCGTGAAGGGTTTACATGGACTGAGGAAAGAGAAATTGTTTCTGATGTCAGAAGGGTCAATAACTAGGGATATAAATATAAAGTGATCAGATAAAGAACCAGAGTGACATGAGAATATATGTTTTCATGCAATAGTGATTAGAATTTAGAATGCATTTTCTGATAAGGTGATGGAAACAGATTGAATAGTAGCTTTGAAAAGGTGATTGGATAACTACTTGAAAAAAAATTGCAGTGATATGGGGAATGAGCAAATTAGTGGGGGTAACTTCATTGCTCTTTGTAAGAGCTGGTGCAGATTAGATGGGCTATGAGGTCTTCTTCTGTGTTGTACTATTTTCTGATTTTCATATGAATAGATCAACAATCATTACCATCAAGAGACAGGAACAATTTCTGAATTACTCCTGTAAATCATTTACCAATAAACAAATTTAAGCATTACCAATCCATTGTTATGTTGTATCATTTGGTTACTTAATTATATGTTATTACAAGATAACTACTTATATTTTTCAAGCTGTTCCATATTTGAAGGATACTCACCTCCTGCTGGTGGCACGACCTGATCCAACAACTTCATGCTTGTACGTTTCCAGATTTTCTTAATAATTGCTCGAAGTTCTTCGTTTGCTTGTTCCAAATTACCTGTTTGACAGGACATTGTATTTCAAACAAAGGTCCTGAAATTAAAGCCAGAATCCAACCCACTATACTAAATAATATTCTCTTACCTGTAGTGATAGTGAGGAAATTTTCTGATTCTGCCAAAAATAGATATGATACTGCCACTGTGTCAAGATGACTGCACTATTTTCAGGTTTGGACTTTCTCTGAAATTTACTTACATCAAATGGGTGACTTTTTGGTTTATGCTTAAAATCATCTTGGTTCTGCACAGAGATGGCAGATGCTAGTGCCTCTGGGTACCAAGTGATTATATGGGGAAATTATATTTGATTGAGAATGAGGCCACAATAGGCTGGAAAGTTTCATTCTCAAAAGGTCTTTCAAAAGACAAAAATTAGCCTTTTTGAAATAACTTTCATATTTAATTGGTGTTTGACCCTAACCTATATATTTACGTAGTCTCCCAACTGCTTTGGACTGGAGAGTTAGGTGCCAACTTAAAGCTTGCCTTAACATTTAATTAAGCAGACATATGCCCAAATTCTCTTCTAGATATTGCTCTGCCAATCATCCAACTTCCAGGCAAAGCACAGAAAGCAGGCAGTTAAAAATCCCCTCTAGTGAGTTTCCTTCTCTAAAACATTTATTTAACCTAGTTCCCTCTGAAATAACAAAGTTAAAAATAAATGTCTCAAAGCAGGTATCTCATCAATGTATCAAAATCACAGGCCACCATTGCTTGTAGATCTGAAACCAAAGAAATTGTTAAATATTCTAAAAGTTTGTACCTTCAGTTTTGATCCTTAACGCAGTTCTAACCAATGCAAAGAGAGTTGCATTGAACATGACTGTGCCATCGCTGTTTAAAGGCATATTCATGGATACCAAGCGCTGCATGAAACAACAAACAACATGGCTTAGTGAAACCAAGTAAAAATCATTCCAACTTTTATTGAGAGATATCAAAGTTACATGAAGGAAACTAAATATACAGTCAAAGGAAAAGCACAACCTTTGTGATCTAGCATAATCTAGTTTTAAAAATAATGAGGAAAATCAACAAATTTTGTTCAAGAGATATTAGGAACTGCAGATGCTGGAAAATCTGAGATAACAAGGTGTAGAGCTGGATGAAAACAGCAGGCCAAGCAGCATCATAGGAGCAGGAAGGCTGACGTTTTGGGCCTAGACCCTTCTTCAGAAATGTTGATCATAAGAAATAGCTTCCAAACTCATTCTTATTCATACAACTTTTCCTATTATTATATTTGGACATACAGTATATCTTGGATAGATGAATAAGAACTTAATCTTACTTTTATCAGCTGTTTTAAACATTGTCAAGTCTCATAGTGTGTTTCTCTCTGTGAGGACCAGTGAGTTTTCTTGTTTGATCATTCCAAATTGCACTTCCATGCCCCTATGCATCCCTATTATCCATTGTCTTCTGGATTCTACTACTTGCCATACGTAGAAGAACTTGCCACTGTAGGGATATCTTGGAATAGACCTGGCACCTGTGACACCCTAAAAAGGCCATTGTGCATCTGGACAAGCACTATCAGTCCAAAGCTTCCCTGCACAGTTCAAGATATTTGCCCCCGATGAGGCAGATAAGGGAAAATTGGAGCCTCGCTTTTTGGTTAGGGGCCTGGAAGCCCTCCCTGGTGGACTGCGTGGCATATAGCAGCAACATCCTGTCCTCCAGAACCAGCAGAGAATGCCACATGATTAGGTTTTGCCAGTTTGGTCCATGATTGTCATCTGGGTTATTGCTGTCCCAGTCATCTGGAGGAATCGTCAGCAGGAAAGGAAGATGATCAATGACCTTCTCTGCTCAGCCAGGGTAGGGTCCACCATCTTATCTCTGCTACCTCACACTCATTTCACCACTGCCACTGCATCAACCTCATACCAAGGGTCATGCTTTACTCCTCACACTAATTGAATGCAACATTTTCCTCACTTGCTCTCAATTCCCTTACCTCTGTCCTTCCCTGCCCTCTAAAATGGCCTAGCAAGCTACTCAGTTGTATCAATTGCTGTGAAGTCTCAAAGAAATGAAATAGGATGGACCACCTGGTACTAACACCTGACACCAGGTAACTCTTTGCAAGCTTTCCACAGCAGATCTTATTCTCATATTTCTTACAATTGTTCTGCACTTTTAAATTTCAATTCTAAGTCTGTAAAAATCAAATCTAATATTGATCTTGCTTTTATACACCTCCTGTGCAGCTGTAACCGTGTATGCCTCACTCTGTCTAAACACCCTATGATCTGGATGTCCCTGTATGTTATGATCTGCCCGAACTACTCACAAAACAAAACTTTTCACTGTACTTAGGTACATATGAAAACAATAAGTCAAAACAAATCATTGGAAGAGACAATAGCAAAAATAGCCTTGTCAACCCTGCAAAGTCCTCCTTACTAACATCTAGACATTAGTGCCTAATTGGGTGAGCTGTCTCACAGACTAGTCAAGCAACAGTATGACATATTCATATTCCTAGAATCATACCTGACAGACAATGTCTCAGACATCACCATCATCATCCCTGGACATGTTTTGTCCCACTGGCAGGACAGACCCAGCAGAGGTGAAGGCACCGTGGTATACAGTCATAGAGTCATATAGCACGGAAAAAGGCCCTTCAGTCTAACTCATCCATGCCAACCAGATATCCTAAACTGATCTAGACCCATTTTGCCAGCATTTGGCCAATATCCCTCTAAACCCTTCCTATTCATGTACCCATCCAGATGCTGTTTAAATATTTTAATTTTACTCACCTCCACCACCACCTCCCCTGGCAGCTCGTTCCATACGCATTTGCTACTTTCCAGTATGATTGAGTTTTTTTCTCAAAAACAAGCTAATTTTTGAACGTTAACACCAAAACATCTAGTACCCCATAAGCCGCCTCTTTTAAGACCCTACAGTGACGTCTATCAGGACCCAACGACATATCAACCTGTAATTCCATCAGTTTGCTCAGAACTGCTTCTCTAGTGATTAAAATTTGACCATGATCCTCCTGATTACAGGTATTAAACTTCGATCTTCTTGTATCCTTTACAGTGAATGTAGAAACGAAGGGTCTAGGCCCGAAACATCAGCCTCTCTGCTCCTGTGATGCTGCTTGGCCTGCTGTGTTCGTCCAGCCCTGCACCTTGTTGTCTCGGATTCTCCAGCATCTGCAGTTCCTACTATCTCTGAGTTAATTATATCTGCCATTTCTTCCTACCATTCCCATCTTCTAGAGAACCAAATACTCATTTTATTTATTTGTTTTCTTTTTAATGACTTGTAGAAACGTTTGCTATCTGTTTATATATTTCTAGGTAGCTTCCTCTTATGATTTAATTTATTTGTCCTGATTAACCTTTTAAGCAAACATTGATGGGCCCTCCCCTTGTCATTTCTATTTATAGTAGGGATGTACTTATTATGGATATTCTGAAATATCCTTAAAATGTCTACCACTGCTGCTCTACTGATCCATCGTCAGTTCATTTAAGCTAGATCTGCTCTCATGCCCACATAGTTGCCTTTATACAAGTTTAAAATACTAGTCTTGGACACAATCTTCTCCCTTTCAAACTTCATGTAAAATTCAATCATATTATGATTGTTGCTATATTTACTCTGAGGTCATGAATTGATTTTGTCACACTACACAATACCAAGCCTAACATATCTGGTCTCAGGTCTCTTTTAGAAAGTTTCCTAAAGCAGCACAATCTCAAAAGCATTCTGTGAATTCCTCATCAAATTACTAAACCAATCCAAATTTTTCTAATTTATGTATAGACCTGGGCAAATGGAAGAAAAAGCTGGTTTGCCAAAATAGTTAATATCATCCAACCATTTGGTCCCTCAAGCCTGGCCCACCATTCAACAAGATCATGGCTGATCTGTTCCAAGCCTTAACTCCTCTTTTTTGCTAGCTCAGCCTAGCTGTCAACTCCCTGATATTTCAAAAAATCTACCTCCTCTTTAAATAATCTCTGTGATCTAGCTTCCACAACTCTCTGAGGTAGAGAATCTCAGAAATTCACTGCCCTCTGGGAGAAGATGTTACTTTACATTTCAGTTTTAAATGAGGATCCCCTTATTCTGCTGTGTCCCCTAATTCAAGACTCCCCCTCTAGTGGAAACACCTTCTCACCATCTACCCCATCAAGCCCCTTTAGAATCTTACATGTTTCAATAAGATCACTACTCATTCTTCTATGCCCTAAAGGCCTAAACTGCTTATCCTTTCTTCACAAATTAACCCTTCATCCCAGCCTACTAAATCTCTTTTGAACAGCCTCCAATGCCAGAATATCTTAACTATGCAAAGTACTCCAGGCAAGGCCTCACCAACACCCTGCTCAGTTGTAAAAAAAATTCCCTGTTTTTAAATTCCAAACCTTGAACAATAAAGGACAACTTCACTGGATTTCTCTTGAGATAATGGAAGAAGATTAATGAAATAATTGAGGTGATCTGTTTAGAATTCCAAAGGTTGTTTCATAAACAGCCACATATTAGGGTTTCCAGTAAATTTGAAGCACATGGAACTAAATGTATGTGACAGTAGTGTATGTTTGTGACATGTGATTCTTAAAAATTTATTCACAGGATGCAGCTGTCACTGACTAGGCCACAATTTCTTCATTATCAATAAACGGGGAGCATTGAAGGATGGCTTTTTTTTGGATTTGGGGAACATATGCAGGCATTTGTTCAAGACCAAGACTTTTCTTGAAGCATGTTAATGACCTAAACTTGGGTACTAATGACATAATTTCAAAATTTGCAAATGATGCAAGAAGTACAATGAGCTTTAAGGAGGATAGTACTAAATTAAAGGGGATACATTCTGACCTACAGAATGGGTGAATACATAGCAAATGAAATTTAATTCATGAATGTGTAAAGTGACACATTTTGGAAGGAAGAATGAGCAGAGGCAATATAAAGTGAAAGCTATATTCTAACGTGGGGACAGGAACTGAGAAATATTGGGGTATATTAGCACAAATTATTGACAGTGGCAAAGCAGCTTGTGAAAGTAGTTAAAATTGGAACCTGTGCTTTGTAAATAGAGAATAGGGCCAGATTTTCATACTGACTTTGGGACTCTTACCTCAAGATCAACTGCTCGGAGCCAGGCTGGCAGAGCCATTTTCCTGCAGGAGGACTCTTAAGTGACTACCCGGAGCTCACCAACAAATCAAGGATGGAAAGTGAGCTCCTGATGCTACCAGTCCAATCACATAGCTGGCATCTCTGGCCTTGGCATATCCACTGACAGAGGTGGTTGTTGCAGGTAGGGCAAACAGAGGGTGTCTCAAAATGGAGGTGCTCTAGCAGTAATGAAAGTTTTTTTTTAAGAAAGGTCAAGCAGACAGATTTTTCTGATTGAAGGGATGGCGTGGTTAATTGAATGACCCACACACAAAGGCGACTCTGACACTAGAAAACTACTGGAGAGCATTTTTTTTTTGTTCCTAGTATGGACCTCCTATAAGTGGATTGGCTGCAAAGTAATAATCCACATACCTGCTCTGGAAAACATTTCTGGTAGTGGAAATGTGTCAGGGATTGTCTTAATGCTATTGCCCTGTGGTTGGAGAAATTTTGCCATATTACAGATTACAAAATCAAGGAAATGATGAACCTCTAAAGAACATTAATTTAGGCTCAACTGCAGTATTTTGTACAATTCTGGCTACTGCACTTTAGAAAGGATGTGAAGAATTCAGACAGACTGCAGAAAAAAATGAAAAGACTTTAGGTAAGTGGATAAATGGTAGAATGGTTATTCTTAGAGGGGAGAAACCTGAGAGAAGATTTAGCGGAGGTGCACAAAATCATGATGAGTCTAAATAATAAAAAAAAGAAAATATTTCTCTATTGCTGGAACTTTATCAGCTAATGATGCACGAGTGGCAAAGAAATATTGGGAGTAGTCTTTCCCAAGCATTCTAAGATTACTTACTTTACAGGCCACTCTATGTGGACACAACTTGCCAAATCCCAATGGTGGTTGTATTCTTCTCAGGAGAGTAACCACATCCAAATGCTTGATGCGACCCCTGAAACAATATAAACAGAACAATATAATTGTTGACTGAAAAATCTATGAATATTGCTCTTTTTGTCTGAGCATACGTTGTCCTTTCTGCTAATTTCTTCCTTTTCTTTCCAAATGATTCTCTACATGTCATCTATTGACAAGGTGGTGGATGAGCCAACAGGTAACATATTTCCAGCATTTCACATGAATTTGAAAGCACCACTTGATTGAGAATATTTTAGCTCACCGTAATTAATGAAGTGCCACATGGATCAATGTTTGTTTGGCCTTAACTATTTACAATCACTATTGTGTGGATGAAGAGGCCAAATAAAATTAAAGCCAAATTTGCTATGATAAAGATAATTTGGAAACACTTTCTGAGGAGAACACAAAAATTCTGCAAAGAGCCAGCAGCTTTTCAGCAGTAGTCACCTAGGAGTTGTGGCCACTGTTAGGACTGCACTCAGCCAAGAGCAATATCATGGACGACACCATGGAATTAGGGTAAGGGGGTTGGAAATACCAGAACAGTCACTGAGACCTCTGTAAGGAACAAACAGTGGGACCTGCTAAGAGACAGAGATATTTTGATTGGGGTATCCTTTGCCACTAGGAGGTCCCTCCCTGGGACACAGAGTGTCCAATCAGGAGGCCACTACACACCTGGCCCCACAGAGGGGCAGTAAAAACTGCAAAAGAAGGCATAAAGGCTGTATCAAAAAGTTTTATTGGTGGTCTTCTCATTGGTAGAGGCATCTCCCCCCACTAATCTACCTTTGGCAGTAGAAGAGGATCTAAACTGGCATTTGGTTTGCCACTTAAGGACTTCAATTAGCCTCTCAGCCAGGAAGGAATTCTCAACCTTACCCATGCTGGATGAATTGCATGGAGTCAGAAAGAACATGTTGTTTAATTCAGATAAATGTGAGGCATTGCATTTTGATAAGGCAAACCAGGGCAGGACTTATACAATTAATGGTCGGGCCCTGGAGAGTGTTGCCGAACAGAGACTGAGGGGTGCAGGTGCATAGTTCCCTGAAAGTGGAGTCGCAAGTAGACTAGGTAGTGAAGAAAGTCTTGGCATGCTTGCCTCATTGATCAGAACATTGAGTATAGGAGTTGGGATGTTCATGTTTCGGCTGTACAGGACATTGGTGAGGTGACTTTTAGAATACTGCGTACAATTCTGGTCACCCCTCAAAAGGAAAGATGTTAAACTTGAGAGGGTACAGAAAAAATTGCAAGAATGTTGCCAGGACTGTAGGGTTTGAGTTATAGGGAGAGGCTGAATAGGCTGGGGTGTTTTTCCCTGGAGCTTCAGAGGCTGAGGGATGACCTCATAGAAATTTATAAAATCATGAGGGACATGGATTGGGTGAATAGCCAAGGTCTTTTTCCTAGAGTGGGGGAGTCTAAAACTAGAGGGCGTAGGTTTAAGGTGAGAGGGAAAAATTTAAAAAGAACCTGAGAGGTAATTTTTTCATGCAGAGGGTGGTGCATGTATAGAATGATCTGCCAGAGGAACTGATGGAGGCTGGTTTGATTACAACACTTAAAAGGCATCTCATTGGGTATGTGAATAGGAAAGGTTTAAAGAGGTATGTGCCAAATGCTGGCAAATGGGACTAGGTCAGTTTGGGATGTCTGGTCGGTGCAGACAAGTTGGATTGAAGGGTCTGTTTCTGTACTATTTAACTCTATGACTCTATAACTCTATCCATTATTTTCCTTCCAGATTCGACATCCCCTTTTTAAAATTGTTCATAGGATGTGGATGACTCTGATTAGGCCCACAGTTGAGGTGGTTAGGGAGACTGTTCCATGATTTTTACTCAGAAACAGGATTCTTCCAAGTCAGAATGGTGTTGGCTTAAAGGGAAACCTGCAGCGTGGTGCTCCCATGCATCTGTTGCTCTTGTTCTTCCAGGTGCTAGGGATTGTGGGTTTGAAAGGTGCTGTTAGAGGAGTCTTGCTGAGTTGTTGCAGTGCATCTTGTAAATGATACACGCTACTGCCAAATGATGTAGGGAATAATGTTGGATATGGTAGAAGGGGCTCCAATCAAGTGGACTGCCTTTTCCTGGATGGTGTCAACCTCCTTGAGTATTGGAGATGCACTCATCCAGGCAAGTAAAGAGTATTCTCTCACACTCCAGATCTATGACTTGTAGATGGTGGACAGGCATTGAGGAGTCAGGGGGTGAGTTACTCATTGTCGAATTCCTAGCCTCTGACCTGTTCTTATAGCCACAACATTTATATGACTCATTCAATTCAGTTTCTGGTCAATGGTGACACCAGGATGTTGATAGTGCATGACATTTCAAAGACAATGCCACTGAACTTCAATGGACAATAGTTTGATTCTGTCTTGAAGAGGTGGTCATTACCTCACATATGTGTCATAAATGTGACTTGCCATTTATCAGCCACTGTCATCTCACCTCTGGAGTTCAGCTCTTAACCATGTCTGGACCAAGACTGTGAAGCTGTCAGGAGCTGAGTTGCCTTGGTTGATTGTAAACTGACCATCACTGAGCAGGTATTCCTTTGTAAGTGCTGTTTTTAGTACTGCCAATGATATCTTCCATCAGTTTGCTGATGATCAAGAATAGGCTGTTAGGAAGGGTATTTGGCCGGGTTGGATTTGCTCTGCTTTTCGTGCATAGGAGATATCTGGGCAAGCTTCCACATTGTTGGGTAGGTGCTAATGCTGTAACTGTATTGGAACAGCTGGGTTAGGGGTGAGAGTTCTGGAGCATGTCTTTAGTCCTATTGTTGGCATTTTGCCGAAGCCCATGGTATTTTAGTATCCAGTGCCTTCAGCCTTATCTTGATATTATGTGGATTGAATTAAATTGGTTGAAGATTGGCATCTGTGATATTGGAACCTCAGGAGATTGAAATGAATGATCTACTCAGCACTCTGACTCAACCTGGAAGCAAATATGTCAGCCTTTTCTTTTGGCACTGGTGTGCTGGGTTCCCTCATCATTGAGGGTGGGGATATTTCTGAACCCTCCAGCTCCTGTTAGCTTTTTGTTTAATTGCCCAGAAACATTCATGACTGGATTTAGCAAGTCTGCAGAGCTTAGATCCGTCCTCAGCAGGTCTAGCAGCACCTGTGGGGAGAAAGCAGAGTTAACATTTCAAATTCAGTGACTCTTTATCAGAACTGAACTGACGAGTTCTGATGAACATCAGTTCTAATAAAGAGTTACTAGACTTGAAACATTAACGCTGCTTTCTCCACACAGATGCTACCAGACCTGCTGAATTTCTCCAGCAATTTCTGCTTTTATTTCAGACCTCCAGCATCTGCAGTTCTTTATTTTAGATCTGACCTGCAGTTTTGGGATTGCTTAGACCTGCTTACTGCATGCTGCTCATGCTGTTTGGATTGCAGTGAGAGCTATGTTTAGCTTCACCAGGTTGACACCTTTTTCTTAGGTGTGGCTAGTGCTGATTCTGGCATGCTCTCCTGTACTCTTCATTGAACCAGGTTTGATATCCTGTCTTCATGGTAATGGTAGAGTGGGGGTATGTTGGGTCATGAGATTATAGTTGTGGGTGAATACAATTTGCTGCTGATGCTGATGGCCCACAGAATGCAATGGATGTCCAGTTTTGAGTTCCTATCAGAATGGTAGTGTCACACACATTGTGGAGCATATAATCAATCTTATCTTGCAAAAAATTTATCTTGTAAAGCTCTCTTATGCCAGATTAAAATCTAGTGTCAACACAGCAACATACTCATGCTAGGCCAGCAACAATTGAAGCCCTCTTTCAATTTTGAAGCACCTATTAAAGGGTGATTCATTCTGACTGCAGTAGGTGCTGGAAGTGGATTTGAGAGAGTATTTGTAGGCAGGATGAAAGCTGACAAAAGATGCAGTTGGTCAAACAGAAAATACCCAGGATCTCCAATGAAGTGCTGGAAGTATCAATGCAGGAGGTGGAAAGCTGATCTTTTTACTGGAGCCAGGTGGTCCTCTGGGCAGGAATGTTAATGGGCTGGGAGCAGATAGCCAATATGACCAATACAATTGTGACCGGTGCCAAGATAGTGGGCATTTGTCATCATGATTGCAACTTCATATTGTTTTGGTGCTTTTAATCTGTGTTAAAACCAAATGACATCATGATCTGTCCACTTTGTGTTCTCCTGAAATATGCATAGGGTGCCTGCATTATAGTTTTTCAAAGAATGCTGATAAGCGCAGACAACACCGAGATTGCCTACTTTCATGATCCCCTTTCTTCCCTAGCCATCTACTGCTGGTAAAAAGACCATTAGACCACAAGGTGAAGGAGTGGAAGTAAGCCACTCAGCTCACTGAGACTGTTCTGCCATTCAATGAGATGATGGTTGACCTGATAATCCTCAGTTCCATTTCCTTGTCTTTTCCCCATAAATCCTGATCCCCATATCAATTAAAAGTCTCTCTCGGCCTTGAATAAACTCCATTGAGTACGGACCCAGAGTCCTCAACCATTTTTAATATGTCAAGCCCTTCATCACTGGGAAATTCTTGTAAACCTCCTCTCACCCACTTCCAGGCCATCACATCCTTCCTTGGATATGGGGCCCAGAACTGCTCACAATATTCCAAATGCAGTCTGACCAGAGCCTCATACAGACTCAGCAATACATCGCTGCTCTTGTATTCTAGCTCTCTTGAAATGAATGCCAACATTGTATTTGCCTTTCCAACTTCCAACTAAAACTGCATGTTAACCTTAGCAGAATCCTGAACTAGGATTCCCAAGTTCCTTTGTGCTTCAGATTTGAGAAGTCTTTGCCCATTTATAAAACAGTCTATGCATCTATTCGTCATCCCATAGTGCATAACTTTTTTGACATTTTATTACATTTATTACATTTGACATTTTATTACATTCTCCTAGCCTGTCCAAATCCTTCCACAGCCTTCTCACTTCCTCAACATTACCTGTCCTTCCACCTATCTTTCCTTCATCTGCAAACTTAGCAACAATGCCCTCAATTCCTTCATCCAGTTTGTTAATGTATAACATGAATAGTTGTGGTCCAAAAACTAACGTCTGTGCAACTCCACTCATCACCAACTACAATCTTGAAAAAGACACCTTAATCTCCAATCTCTGCCTTCTGCCAGTCAGCCAATCCTCTATCCATGCCAGTACCTTGCCCCTGACACCATGGGCTCTTATCTTATTTAGCAGCCTCCTTGGTGACACCTTGTTAAAGGCCTTCTGGAAATCCAAATAAATTGTGTCCATTGACTCTCCTTTGTCTAACTTGCTTGTTACGTCTTCAAAGAATTCTAACAGATTTGTCAGGCATAACCTCCCTTGATGAAGCCATCCTGACTCAGCTCTATTTTTCCATGCATTTCCAAGTGCTCCACAATCTCATCTTTAATAACGGACTCTAAAATTTTATCAACGACCGTGATCAGGCTAACTGGTTTATAATTTTCTGTCTTCTGCCTCCCTCACCTCTTAAGTTGGGGTTCTGCACTATCCATTTTCTAGTCCTCTGGGACCCTCCCTGACTCCAGTGATGCCCGAAAGATCACCACCAATGCCTCTACAATCTCCTCAGCTATCTCCTTCAGAATTTGGAAGTGCAGTCCATCTGATCTGGGTGATTTATCCACCAAAAGATGGACAGTGTGAAACAGGAGTCAGCAGTCATAGTCCATCACACCTGGCATTTGTGAAATAAGCTAACGCAAAATGACCATTATAAAAGTCTTAGCAATCATAAATATTGCTTGGAGCTAAGGGGTTGTGATATCAATCAGAAATACAAAACACCAAATTAAATACACTATTATTACATCTAAGAAGCATGTTTCAAATGTTGAGTTTTAAGTTGCTGCACTTACTTGGCCTCAGGATCATACTCAGCCCAGATTCTCTTAAATTCATCTAGATGATGTGGACCAAGAATAGACCAATCGCGGGTTAAATAATCAAAATTATCCATGATAACAGCTACAAAGAGGTTGATGATCTGAGAGGAAGAGAAATAGTTATCTTCAAATTTGGAGCAAATTCAGGCTTCAAAAGAAAAAAACAGTATGACATTCTACCTTTACAATGTAGTTGATAATGAAATATTACCTGGCAACGACTACTTTAAATGTATGGAAACGTAAGGATCCCTTCATACCGTGTGCAGAAGCTCTACAGTTGATTCATATAACATTCTCGCATATTGGCACAATTGCAAAGTAAACATACTATTCCTACAAACTGACCCAAATGCCACTTTAAATCCTAATGATGTAAACTTTTCATATTCACCGAAGCACCTAGCATCGACAAGCTTTTCTGCCCTGGGCTCAATCGGGGCAAAGGCACAAAGCAATTTGGAGTCCCCAGCAGGCACCTTAATGTCTCATTAAATGTCCTTCAGCCTCCAGACTCACCTTTAAGATCCTATCTGGCAAGGTGGCTTTGCCTGGGGGAGATTAATTCTAGTCCTAACAGGAGCCACGGTTCCCGGTGGCCCTGGTGGAACTACAGAGCTGTCGGCCAAGTGGTTACTTGGTAACTCTTGGAGGTGGCAATTCCTTCAAGATGTTCACCCTGAGACATTAATTGTCATGGCTTTAAATTGCTGCATCCCTGACTTTACAGTTGAGGTGCAGAACCACTGCTTTTGTGTAAAGGTCTGGACAAAACATATATATACACATGTGAAACTTGAAGTGTTCTAATAACACCATTTGTAGATTTCAATTTCTGTTCTATAAATTTAAGAAGTGTAATAAGCAAGGGAGGGGAGAGGGAAAATAACTGTAGGGAGAAAATAGTCTTCAGATCAATGTTGTTTTAATTTTAAAAATTTCAGACATATTCTGAAGCAAATTAATTCTCTCATCTTTTGCTAATTATTGCTTACATCTGAGATCAGGCAATGTTGATCTCAGAGAAAGTGAAAGAGTACAGCATGGCAGAAAAAGTCAGATAGGCATCAGAATGAGAGAGAAGAAAAATAAACACTGGGGCCAGAGAGAGCAAGAAAGAGAGAACTAGAGAGAGATGGAGAGAAACAAATGAGAGCTATAAGATGTTTTTTCTTTATTGAAAATTATTTGTTCACTTTAAAAATTGACTAAGTCTTTTACTGTAGATTTTTTAATGATTAGTAGAGCCCTGTGCTAATCACCATGGGACAGAGACACGAATTACAAACACCTATGAGGCAGGGATAAAGAGAGAGAGAGACGCACTCAGCTTCATTTGCCATCTTTTGAAGTCTGGTAGCCACAATATTCTCAGTCTCCATCCCAAGTGCAGTCTGCTGCTATTAGTGACTCAATTCCTGACATATCACTCACCAGTGACTTTCCAAACAGAAAGAAAGAAGAAAGTACCAGGTGGTGATAGGGATAAAAACAGATGAGTTAAGTGAAAGGAACAATGTAAAATAAAAGAAGCAGAAGAGATGAAACAGAGAACGAGAAACATCAAAGCGATTGCAACATGGATTACATATTCCTTACACTTGAAAATTTTACCACCCTATTTTTGGTGTGAATAAGGTGCTAATGAGATGAACATTTTCAAAAATTACTTGTTCCCAGGACGCAGGTATTGCTGGCGAGGCCAGTATTTAATACCATCCCTAACTACCCTTGAGAAGGTGGGTTTGAACTGCCTTCTTGAACAGCTTCAGTCCACTAGTGATAAGCTTCCCCACAATGGTGATGGAGGAGAGGCTCTTTGCAATTATTTCGATTGGTCATAGAAACATACAGCACAGAAACAGACCCTTTGGCCCAATTCATTCATGCCGACCAGGTTGCCTAAACTGAACTCATCCCATTTGCCTGCATTTGGCCCATACAAGTCTGTACTGACTTTCCCTAATCAGATCCTGACTTTCCAAAGGCATGTAGATCCTGTCTCTCAGAATTTCCTCCAACAACCATACCCATCACTGACATCAGGTTCACCAGTCTGTAGTTCCCTGGCTTCTTGTTGCAGCTTTTCTGAAATAATGGCACAACATTAGCGACCCTTCAGTCATCCAGCATCTCACCAATGGCTATCAATGTTACAAATATCTCTGCTAAGGGCCCCACAATTTCTTCCCTAGCTTCCCACAATGTCCTTGAATAGACTTCATCAGGTCCTGGGGATTTGTCTACCTGTATGCATTTTAAGACCTCCACCACCTCCTCTTCTGTAATCTGCACTCTTTTCATGACATCACTATTTATTTCTCTGAGTTCCTTAACTTCCATGTCCTTCTTCACAGTAAATACTAATGCAAAATATTCATTTAGGATCTCACCCATTTCCTGTGGTTCCACACATAGATGGCCTTGTTTATCTTTAACGGGCTTTGTTCTCTCCCCAGTCACTCTTTTGCCTTTAATATACTTGCCGAATCTCTTTGGATTATCTTTAACCTTATCTGCCAAAGCTATCTCATGCCCTCTTTTTGCTTTCCTGATTTCCATCTTGAGGGTACTCCTAAACCCCCTATACTGCTCAAAGGATTCACTTGATCCCAGCTGTCTACAACTGAATTATGCGTCCTTCTTTTCCTTGACCAGAACCACAAATATCTCTAGACATTCAGCGTTCTCTACTCTTGCTAGCCTCGGTCTTTACACTAGCAGGAACATTCGGTCCCTGAACTCTTGTTATTTCACTTTTGAAAGCCTCTCATTTGCCAGACGTCCGTTTATCTGCAAACAGCCACCCCCAATCTACTTTTGAAAATTCCTGTCTTAAACCATCAAAATTGGCCTTGCCCCAATTTAGCAATTGAACTTGTGGACTAGGCCTATCCTCTTCCATTACTATTTTAAAACTAATAGAATTATGGTCATTGGTTCCAAAGTTCTCCCTCACTAACCCTTTCATCACTTGCCCTGCCTTTTTTCCCAAGATGTGGAAGTGCCGGTGTTGGGCTGGGGTGGACAAAGTCAGAAGTCACACAACACCAGGTTATAGTCCAACAGGTTTATTTGAAATCGCAAGCTTTTGGAACACTCTCATTAACTTCTCATTAACTTCTGTACCAGCCTCAACCTTCTCGCTTGTCTCACTACTGCTTAAGGTCCCAACCCCTGGCCAGACTACTTTAGACTCACTCAAGTTTAGGGGTCACTGAACAGAAGTTCAAAGAAGACAAACAGTAAGACAAGTTAGTATTAGGGGAAGGAGACAGAGTAGGCCAAGTTAGGAATATTGATTTTTAGCTGTCCTTCACAAAAAGCAACTGAGCGACATGGGTTCTCTAAAGGGGATGGTCAGTTAAATCTAAAGAACAGTTTGGCTGTGCTGTTGAATATGTCTCTACTGTTAGAACAAGAACCAAGGTCTATGTTATTAGGCAGTTATTATCTATGCTTACTACATGTTAAATCTGGGTGCTACAAATAAGTTGTACATGCAGTGTAGATCCATAGAATCCCAACAGTGTGGAAACAGGGCTTTGGTCCAACAAGTCCACTTCGACTCTCCAAAGAACATTCCACCCAATTCACCCCCTACCTTATCCCTGTATTTTCCACGGCTAATCCACCTAACCTACACATCCTACACACAATGGGCAATTTAGAATGGCCAATCCACATAACTTGTACATCTTTGGACAATGGGAGGAAACCGGAGCACCCAGAGGAAACCCACACAAGATGTGGGGAGAATGTACAAACGCTACCACTCAGACAATTGCCCAAGGCTGGAATTGAACTCGGGTCCCTGGCACTGTGAGACAGCAGTGCTGACCACTGAGAACTACTGTGCTGTGTAGATTGTATTACTGTTGTAACTTGTATGGTATGTTATTGACATTTGCTAAAAACCATGGAAACTTGTGGCTTTATTCTCTTAGTTAGTTTTTTAAAATTTATTCACAGGATGTGGGCATCACTAGCTAGGAAAGTTTGCTATTGCACATCCCTAATTGCCCAGAGGGCAGTTAAGAGTCAACCACATTGCTGTGTGTCTGGAATCACGTAGGTTAGTCCAGGAAGGGATGACAGTTTCCCTCCCTAAAAACATTAGTGAACCAGATGGATTTTCCAACAGTCAACAATGGTTTCATGGTCATCATTAGACTCTTAATTCCATATTTCGATTGAATTCAAATTCTACCATTTGCTGTGGTGGATTCAAAACTGGGACTCTAGAACATTACCTGCGCCTCATGATTAACAGTCCAGTGATAATACCGCTCAGCCATTGCATGTATTCTTTTCTCTCTGGGAACTAGTGCTTTGTCTATTTTAAAAACAGAAGTTATTGGTCTCTGGCCAGATGGTAACATAAAGTGATGATCAGGTCTGAGATCATAACATGATTTGGTGATCTAGAATAACATATTTAAAATATAATTACCTACCCTTTTAGTCAGCTGCCCTCAGCATATTTTAAAGGTTTTTTTGCGTGTTTCCAACCCTTTATTTATGTAACAGTCAGTGGCAGCAGTGGTGGTGGAGGTGGGGTGGGGTGCAGTGCAGGAAATGTTAATTAACAAACACTTCAGAATTGGAGGGATGCAAGGTAACTATCTGGAAACTGTACTGAACGACATAGTCTATTTAAGGCTTGAAGCGTATTAACATTGCGCCATTGTGCTGCTCACTGAAACAGCTTATCTAGAGGGGATTCACAATTGTTTGGCCTGCAAAGATTACACGTGAGTTATATTTAGGTAATGAGTTGATGGAAGCGGGGCGAGGGTGCAGGACTTCAAATATTTGAAGAAAACTTCTGCTCCTCTTGACTCCACAAAGACAAGATCTAAACTTCCCTGTCTGAACCCTATTGTGGATGCTCTGCTCAATGGGCAACTACATTGGCAAAGGTGTCTTAATGACTCCATAGGATCTTGATTTAAATTAATTCATAAGGATCTTGATTGAATCTGACAAGTGCCTCAATCACTCAAGAAAGTAATGGAGTAAAATAGCTGCCAGATGGGAATAAGTGTAAACTGGGATTTTAATTGAGAGCTGTGTAAAAATATGCCATTAAAAAGTGTAATTTGCTTCTGAATCTTTCTGTTTAGAATTGTAGGAAAGGAGCTTGGACTATGTTTACCCACCTGTTTACCTAAATGTCCATTCATACGGTCTTCAATATAAGAACTGAAACTAAGTACTGAGGGGTTCTGTCAGAGTCTGGGAACTCTAATTACACACCACTTCGTGGGATGCAAAACTATCATTACTGAATATTCATTCAACAAATAATTCAACAAATATTCATTCAACAAATAACAAATAACAAATAAGGGGTGATAGATATAGGACAGATGTCAGAGGTAGGTTCTTTACTCAGAGTAGTAAGGGCGTGGAATGTCCTGCCTGCAAAAATAGTAGACTTGCCAACTTTAAGGGCATTTAAATGGTCATTGGATAAACATATGGATGATAATGGAATAGTTTAGGTTAGATGGGCTTCAGATTGGTTTCACAGGTCGGCGCAACATCGCGGGCCGAAGGGCCTGTACTGCGCTGTAATGTTCTATGTTCTAGTAGCACTGGGCTGCATTCTGTATTAATGTTCTTACTCAAAGGTTACAATGGGAGGTTGGAGATTAATCCACAGAATACAATAAGTCCTGCAATCTTTCTTGAGTGCTATATATTTTAACTGAATACTTTATTTATTAAATGGAAAATACCAAGAATCCTTCTAGACGCGTACTCACCAAGAAGGCACACAGCATGTAGAAACTAACAAAGTAGAAGAAAGCAAAATAGGTTCCACAGTTAAGCTCTGTTTCATGACGTGTTGGCTCTTTCTCACAATGTTTTCCTGGGAGGCAAGATAACATGATCTCCTGCCAAGCCTCACCTGTAGCACATCTGGAAATGCAAAATTGTGTATAGTGACTTGTTTTATTAAAGAACCAAGTATGATACCATATATCTCAATCTGTATTTGGAGAAATAACATTCTTTTGAAAAGAAAACAGGGGAATACACCCAACAAGTACTTTGGATGAACTTCATTGGTGCTCATCATGATTGGAAGTAAACATATAGAAAGGGACAATTGAATTGATAAACCTGCATCCCTCTCCAAGCTCCTACTCTATATATATTTTTCAAATATATATGCTTTATCAATTGCTTGGTAATACAGAACTGAAATAATACTAAAAGGAAGCATGAAAACAAAGCTCTTTTTTAAACTCATCGTGACTAGGATGCAAAAAAATCAGACTTAGAAAGCAAAGCAATTTGTACAATTTGAGAAAGTGCTGATTGGTTGGGCCTTTGTTGGAATAGACATACAACAGGAACAGATAACAGTCAAACTTAGATCTCTGACCCGACAGTAGACTCTGGTTAGTCAAGTTGTGGCCACAGGATGTTCTGATCCAATAACTAAGATCTTGTATTCCGGGTGTGAAATGGATCAAAAGTTGTTATAAATTGTAGACCTAACAATGTACTGTCAGAGCCAATGAGCCTACAAATGCACAGCAATCTTGGATCAACAAACTCACAAAACACTCAAATGCTCAAAATAAAATAAAATTCATTTATTCAATACAAAATTTTAGTATCTCCTTCTAAAGATTTGGTGAGTAAAACAAACTCTACTAATGTTCAACCAGCTATTTTGTTACAATTTTACAATTGGTCTGTATGTTGTTCTTACTGGGTAAAAACCAAAAGAACTGCAGATACTGTAAATCAGAAACAAAAAACAGAAGTTGCTGGAAAAGCTCAGCATACCTGGCAGCATCTGAGCTCCAGTTCTGAGGAAGGGTCACCAGAACCAAAACATTAACTCTGATTTCTCTTCACAGATACTGCCAGACATGCTAAGCTTTTCCATAAATTTCTGTTTTTGCCCTTACTGTGTGTTTATTTGCATCCATTTCATCCATCCCTAGCAACCATGCTGCAGCATCCATTTCATTCATCCCTAGCAACCATGCTGCAATTTATTCAGCCCTGTCAACCCTGCAGAGTTCTTCTTACTAACATTTTGGGGCTAGTGCCAAAATTTAGAGATCTGACTCACAGATGAGTCAAGCAACACCCTTTCATAGTCATACTCACAGAATTATAACTTTCAGGCAATATCCCAGACATCATCATTCCTGGATATGCCCTTCCCACTGGCAGGACAAGCCCAGAGGAGGTGGCAGCATAGTGATATACAGTCACAGAATTATAGAATTCCTAAAGTGCATACGAGGCCAATGGGCTCATCAAGTCTGCACCGACCCACCATTCCACCCAAACCCACTTCCCCCACTCCATCCCCATAACCTTACATAGCTAGTCCACCTTGCCTGCACATCCTTCGACACTACAGGGCAATCTAGCATGGCCAATCACCTCACCTGCACATCTTTGGGCCGTGGGAGGAAACTAGAGCACCCAACGGAAACCCACGCAGACAGGTGGACAACATGCAAACTCCACACAGTCACTCGAGGCTGTAATCAAACCTGGGTCCTTGGCACTGTATAGTGTAAGGGAGTTGCTCTACAAGTCTTGACCATTGGCTCTGGACATAATGAAGTCTCATGGTATTGTGGACAAGGAAATCTCTTGCTAGTTACCACACACCATCCTCCTTTGGCTGATGAATTAACACTTCTCCATGTTGAACAACACTTGAGTGGCGCAAAATGTATTATGGGTGGGACAGTTCAATGTCCACCACCTCCAATGTGGCTTGGCAGCAACACTGCTGATCGGGCTGGTCAGGTCCTAAAGGACATAGCTCTTAGACCGGGTCTGCACCATGTGGTGAGCAAACCAGCAAGAGGGAAAAACATACTTGATCTCATCCTCACCAATGTGCCTGCTGCAGATGCATCTGTTCATGACAGTATCAGTAAGACTGACCACCACACAGTCATTGTGGATACAAAGTCCCACCTTCATACTGACCACACCGCCAACATGTGTGGCACTATCACTGTGCTAAATGGGACAGGCTTTGAACACATCTAGCAATTCAAGACTCTTGCAGCGCTGTAGGCCGTCGACAGCAACAGAATTGTATTCCAGCACAATTTAAAACCTCATGGCCCAGCATATCCCCCACTTAACCATTACCATCAAGCCAAGTGAGAGAGTGCAGAAGGAACAGCACCAGGTATACATAAAAATGAAGTGTCAACCTGGTGAAGTTACCAAAGAGGACTACTTGCATGCCATACTGCATAATCAGCAAGTGATGGACACAGCTAAGTGATCCCACATCCAATGAATCAGATCTAAGCTCTGTAGCTCTGTCATATCAGGTCATGAATGGTGGCAGACAATTAAACAATTCAGCGGAAGAGCAGGGTCCACAATGTTCCAATCCTCAATAATGGAAGAGCCCAGCACATCAGTGCAAAAGATAAGGCTGAAGCATTTACAGCAATCTTCAAACAGAAGTGCTGAGTGGATGATCCAGCAGTCATCCTCAGCATTACAGCTACCAGTCTTCAGCCAATTTGATTCATTCCACATGATATCAAGAAAAGGCCGCAAGTATTGGATACTGCAAAGCTATGAGCCCTAACAACATTCCAGCAATAGCACTGAAGGCAGGTGCCCCAGAATTTGCTGCACCCATGGCCTAGCTATTCCAGTACAGCTACAACAGTGGCATCTATCTGACAATGTGGAAAATTGCCCAGGTTATGTCCTGTGCACAAAAAACACGATAAATCCATCCTGGCCAATTACCACTCCAGTCTACTCTCAATCATCAGTAAAGTGATGGAAGATGTCAGCGACAGTGCTATGAAGCAGCACCTGCTTAGTAATAACCTGCTCACTACACCCAGTTTGGGTTTCACCAAGGCCACACAGCTCCTGACCTCATTATGTCCTTGGTTCAAACATGGATAAAAGAGTGACATTCCAGAGTTGAGTAAAGCGCTACAGCCCTTGACATCAAGGTCACATTTGACTGAATGTGGCATCAAGAAATGCTTGTGTGTCATGGGGCAAATTCACATGCCTTTATTGGTCAGTGCATAGAATATAGGAGTTGGGATGGCATATTGCAGCTGTACAGGACTTTGGTTAGGCCACTTTTGGAATACTGCATTCAATTCTGGTTGTCCTGCTATAGGAAAGATATTGTTAAAAATGAAATGGTGCAGAAAAGGCTGGAGCTATATTCCCTGGAGTGTCAGAGGCTGAGCAGTGACCTTATAAAGGTTTAGAAAATCATGACGGGCATGGATAGGGTGAATAGCCAAGGTCTTTTTCCCAGGGTAGGGGATTCCAAAATTAGATGGCATAGTTTAAGGTGAGAGGGGGAAAAATATAAAAGGGACCTAAGAGACAACATTTTCACGCAGAGGGTATGCGTGTATGGAATAAGCTGCCAGACGAAGTGGTGGAGGTGGGTACAATTACAACATTTAAAAGGCATCTGTATGGATACATGAACAGGAAGTGTTTAGATGGATGTGGGCCAAATGTAGGCAAATGAAAGTACATTAATTTAGGATACCTGGTTGGCATCGGCGAGTTGGACTGAAGGGTTTATTTCTGTGCTGTACTAACGACAACAAATGTACAACTCTATGAGTCTATGGTTGGAGCTGTATCTGACACATAGGCAGATAGTCATGGCTGTTGAAAGTTAGTCATCTCAGCTCCACAACATTTCTGCATGAGTTCATCCAGGCAATGTCCTAGTTCCAACCATGTTCAGCACCATTCATGATTCCTCAGATACTGAAGCAGTCCATGTTCAAATGCAACAAAATGTGGACATATCCAGGCTTGGGCTGACAAGTGGAAAGTAACATTCACACCACACAAATGCCAGGCAATGACCATCTCCAATAAGAGACAATCTAACCACTATCCCTTTACATATAATGATGTTATCATCACCGAATTTCCCCCTGACAACATTTTGGGGGTTACCACTGACCGGAAACTCAACTGGACTTGCCACATAAATACAGTAGCTACAACAGCAGCTCGGAGCCTATGAATATTGCAGTGAGTAACTCACCTGACTTCCCAAAGCCTGTCTACCATTTACAAGGCAAATGTCAGGAGCGTGATAGAATGCTCCCCGCTTGCCTGGATGGGTGCAGCTCCTACAACACTCAAGAAGCTTGACACTGTCCAGGACAAAGCAGTCCACTTGACTGGCACCACATCCACAAACATTCAGTCATTTTATGAGCGACTCTCAGTAGCAGCAGTGTGCACCATCTACAAAATGCACATGCAGAAATTCACCAAAGATCTTTAGACAATACCTTCCAAACCCACAATCACTTTCATCCAGAAGGTCAAGGACAGCAGGTACATGGGAGCACCACCAAATGCAAGATCCCCTCCAAGCTACTCACCGTCATGACTTGGAAATATATCGCCTTTCCTTCACATGGACTGCAGTGGTTCAAGAAGGCTGCTCACCACCACTTTCTCCAGGGCAACAAGGGACAGGCAATAAATGATGGCCAGCCAGTGATGCTCACCTCCCATGAGTGAATAAAAAATTACAGAGGGTATTAAATTAAATTGTGGGAGGCTGGAGAGGCAATTGGAGTGGAAGAAGAGATGTCCGGCTATCACTGTTCATGTTAGAATGAAAAACATTGATCAGACTGGAAAGATTTAGAACTGTTAGGAGCTTAACTAAAAAGCAGAATTTCAAAGGTAATAATCTTACGATTATTTACTTTTCCCAAGGCTCAGGTAAAGTCAAGGAGTTAATAGATGTAAAGCTGGAAAAGCACAGCAGGTCAAATAGCAGCCGCAGAGCAGGAAAGTCAACATTTCGTCTGAAACCCTTTGTCAGGACTGGGAAGGGGGAGGGGAGCCCAGAAGTAAATAGAGGGAGGGAGTTGGGGGGAAGGGTAGGTGGGATG